AGTTGCAGACGTACCTTGTTTAAGTATTATATGCTAACTATGCGGCTCGTGTAGCCATAGCTAGACAAGGTACTCATGTGCAAAGCATTGGTGTTTGTTCATCCATGAAAAAAGCACGCCGGGAAAGTTTGCTTTACAAGGAAAAGTTGACGTAATCTAGCTTATGACGTATACATGCTAACTTTAGCGTGAGTATGACGTCACCAAAAAATAAAAATTTTCTATTATAACCAAAATATTAATAACTACAAGGTTTATGGGCGTAAATTCCCTTAATACAAATTAAGGGTAGCACCATCTACTTGCCATACAAATTACAGCTCACATTGACGTCTCAGTCGAGAAATACGGGTAGCTGAAGTTTTTCTCGAAAATCTGACAACAAAACCAAATCGAAATTCACGTTCCACTTCTGACTTTGAGTTGCTTCGCACACGCCGCTGAGGGCGGCATTCCGGGAACCCTGCGTCTAGACTTACCGCATACTTGCTTCTGATTGGTCAGAAGTACACGTCTGCGACAACGGATTCCCGGCTGATTTCACGTCCTCTACGAATGAACTCGACCCAAGCATTACGCATGCGCATATGCCTTACATAACGTCATACCGTTCCAAGTAACTCGTCGTCGCAGATCTACAACTCGCTAATATTTCAGTAATCATGTCAGTCTTTCGTCTAACCCTGGTCAATGAAGATCTGATTGTCAGTCAGTTGGCTGTGGTCATGCACCAGTGACGTTGGGGTACAGCAAGATGAAAGTATTTGAGGCATGCCATGGCGAAATGGTTTAGTTGTCGCATAGGCCAGTATTGATTAAATGAGCTATAAAATATGGGAGCTCAAAAAATTGCCTAACCTTCCAAGTTTTTTTTTCATTATAGATCAACAGTTTATTGTCTTATTAATTATGTACCAAAGTATTAGTTCTGGAAGTGGTCAACAAATTGTTTATTTAATGTTATTTTGATAGTTCATTCTATTCATTGTATGCACAAATAACTTTGAAAGGCAATTACTCAAAATCATGTTTATCTTGATTCTAAGAGTACTGTACTTTCACTTTCCAATAACTTAGGCTTGAAATGTCCAATTTGAATGAATGACCCCTCATTTTAAAGATCACATACTCAGGTATCTGAAAATACTAATAACTGGAATTTCAAGTTTTGCTACAACTTAGCCATTTCATGCCACAACATGCTTCATTTATGTAATGCATGAATATAGTTCTGGGTTTGTAGTGAAATGATTTTTGTACATTTTAGGTGCTCCTCCCCATGCATAAGTGTAAGCTAAATTACGGTGATTAATTAGTGACAATTATTTCGAAGTTCCCATTTTTCCAAGAGGGGGATGCAAATGCTTTGTGAAAATGAATTTGCCGCACTACTCATTATCACAAAGGAATACACGCAGCTGGTTAACTACAATATGCAAATGTTACATGAACACCTGGGAAGGAAGGTGCAATATCACGTTCTGTTGTTTAGCATGCGTCTGTACTGTAGGGTTGGGGAGAGGGGGTGGACCCTAGCCTACTTATGTACTGTGTAACGGGGGACGATAAGGCATAATAAGACTAGGCCTAGTCCTAAGTAGACAGTGCAATTATATGTGATAGAAAGTACAATTTTGAAAAAAAATAAAGTAAAATAAGAAAAAATAAATTAACTAAGAATAATTCAGTTGCAGATGTACCTTGTTTAAGTATTATACAATGCTAACAATGCGGCTCTTGAAAGTTGTACTGTAGCCCTAGCTAGGCAAGGCATCCATGTGCATAGCAATGGTGGTTATCCATGAAAAAAGCATGCCGGGAAAGTTTGCCTTTACCAGGAAAAGGTGACGTAATCTTATGATGTATGCATGCTAACTATATTGTGAGTGTGAGGTCACCAAAAAATATTTTTTTTTATTATAACCAAAATATTATTAACTACAAGATTAGTGGGCATAAAGTCCATAATACGAATTAAGGGTAGCACCATCTCCTTGCCATACAAATTACAGCCCCCACTGACTTCTCAGTCGAGAAATACGGGTAGCTGAAATTTTTCTCGCAAATCTGACTGCTAAACTATATCCAAATTTCACGTTTTGACTGAGTTAGCACACACCGCTGAGGGCGGTGTTCCTGGAACCCTGCGTCGAGAGCTTAAGTAGGTGTGGTCGGACGCCACTCAAAAGCTATCGGTGATTCAAGAGGCAAGCCTATTAAAGTTTAGGGGGTTTAGGCTTATTTAATCGATTTTAGAATCAACATTGTTCTTGTAAAAAATATTGAATCGTTATGGGAGAGTTAAGTGTACCCCATAACTCAAAAGAAAGTGTGGAAAGTCTTGTAAAACAAATCACCAGTAATTAATTTCAGGAACTGCATGAAAGATCGTATGGTGTTAGGCTACAATTGAAATTTTGCTCTTTGGACATTGTATAAAGAATGATATTGTGAATCATCTATGTGGAGAAATCGGGACGCTCCATTCCTTAGCTGCATTATGCAAGATCTGACTAAATGACCATGCATTGTTGTAAATATATTTTCTAAAGCCGTAAATTGACCGTCTGCTTACCACTTCAACTATTATGTTACTTTAGAGGGAAATATATTATCAGCAACCTATCGCACCAGTATTAACACATAATGCAGCTGAGGGACTTGTTTTTACATAATTTCATGGTTGAAAAATGTTTAGCCCTATTAGCCCTATTAATCCCAAAATGTACAGTATTAACTTTGAAAATAAGCCCCTCCTCATCTTTACTTTGCCAAAGTAGTCTTGAAAAGAAGCCCATCTCGAAAAGTCCAGTCTCAACAAAAAGAATCAAGGCTTCTATTCTAGGGTTTACGGTGTATTTTCCCTAACCATTAACTATATACGAACTACAATCTTCATGGAAGCCTACAGTACTAATACCCATTTACAGAATTTTTCGAAATCACATCAATTCAGGTTACGATGTCAAAT